TACACACACTTTGAACTGGTTGTTTCAGGTCAGACATCATTGCTGCAGGCCCAAAATAGTGTGTGGCTGGAGACTGGGGGAAGAGGTGGTAAGCGCATGGCGTCTCTTAGCATCGTGCGTGGGTCAGTGTGACTGCACCTTGAGGTCCTGATTGAGCCGGTCTCGGCGAAGGCCCGAAGCCTCACCCCAGCCTCTCTGAAACCTGGGTTTCCAGGGGCACAGCTAGCCCAAGTGGTACTCCATGCCATCTGTAGCTGACTAACCCGCCTTCCCCCCACCTCCATCAACACGCATGCTGCTCACATGGGCACCCAGATGCACCCAGTGCTGAACTGCTAGGAAGGTGTCCACAGGAAGGCCTCGGGCACAGCAGGCCAGCCACACACCGGTGTGGGTGTGCTACTAAGGGCCAGCCAGAGTCCTGGCCAATTAAGGAAGGCATTTGATAATCAGACCAGGTAGCTAAAACCACCCTTTGATTTTCAGTCTGTTTTTATTGGGGAGGGTACCTGGGGGAGCACTCGGGGGAGGGATGGAAAGCCTTGTGTTTCATTCAATGCAAATTGCCTCTCCAATGTGAAGTCCTCCAATGTACTGACATCCCTAGTGCTGCATTGCCTTATCCGGGTCCCCAAGCCAAGGAGGCTCACCAGGAGGAGGGGCAGGTGAGTGTAATTCCCGTGTGGTTGGCTGCAGAACTGGCAGCTAGCCAGAGGGCAGCTACTGGAGGGAGGTGTGTCCGGGGCTTAGGGAGAAGGGGGGAGTGGGGAGCACTGGAACAGTGATGGGGACAGGGAGGCTGGCTGGGGGTGGGGGGACAATTGAGGTCCTAGCTTGTATAGATGACACCGAGCGGAGACCTGGCCAAGCTGCTTAGGGAAGTGGGCGAGCACTGCTCAGTTTGGGGGTTCAGTAGAGAAAAAAGTTCCTAACTGTAAAGGGACGTGGAGAAGCAGGGGACATGGTGACAGGGAAGGAAGTCAGTGAGGACGGGGTACAAGTGAGAGGAACCTTTGGATGTGTAAGAGGGCCCAGGAACCGGCCAGGAGGACACGGGGCCAGAGTGGGGGTGTAGGGGGGCAGGAGAGAGCTGGCCTAGGGCGTGGACGTGAAGCCGGCGGCGAGGGCAATCAGCTTGCAAGCAGTGGACCCAGTGACTATAGGGGGTTGGGGGGAGGTCTGGCCCGGGAGGGGCCGGCGACACTTGCCCTGCCCCCCAGCTCTGGAGCCTCAGCCCAAGAATACAGCTGCCCTGTGGCCCCAAGGCAACACGAGTCCTGCCCCCTGACTGCCTCCCAGGCGGGTAACCCGGTGCTCTGGAGGCTTCCCCATGGGAGGCCCCCTGAGTGGTCGGCTGGGAGTCAGTGGTCTCTTCCTCCTTGATCTTGAATAGCTAACCTCCAGGAAAGCAAGAGTGGGGTTCAGGAGAGTGAGAATGTGAAAGCATTCCCGGGGGCCTGGGAGACTGCCACTCTGCCTCTGACTTGGGTGGCCTAGGAAGGTCCTTTTCACTCCCTTTTCTAGCATGAGGGGGAGGGGCTCAAGGCATATAATTCCTAGAACCCCTACGATGAGCACATTCAAGTTCATTGCTCCCACTCTGCAGATTAGAAACCTGAGTCCCAGGAGAACAGAGAACCGGCAATCCCCTTTTGTCTAGTTCCTCAGCTCTGTAATTTTCTCTTGCCAGGTGGGTCTGGGGATTTCAGGATGCCCGTGAGGACAGCTGAGCCGATGCCAATGGCACACACCGTTTGGGAAAGGCCAGGGTAAAGGGTGGTGTGGACAAGTGAACAACATCTGAGATTGTCCTACTTCTGGCTGCCCCCCCCCGTGTCCCACATCTCTCTTCAGGAGCAGCCAGCAGCAGCCTTGGAAGTAGGAGGTCCCAGATAGATGTCATGGAGCCCCCGAGACAGGGAAAAGGGAGCACTCAGAGATGCTCCCATTCATGTTTACCCACTTTAGAGTTTGAAAATTGTCAGCTCACAGTGGCCATCAACATTCTCATACCCAGAAATCACCCGAGTACACGCTGTCAGCTCTGCTTCCCGCCTTCTCTGGCCACACATGAAGCCACTGCACCCTCATTTTCAAATCTCCCCAATTCTGTCAATAATGTCCTTCATAGATTTTTAGGGTATTTTTAAAAAAAAAACTTGACTGGAATCACAGCGCACACACATTTCCAACATGACTTTACCTGCCACTGTATCATCCCTGGAATCCTGGTGTGGTGCTGTGGGTTAATGAGCTGGATTGCAAAGTCACTTTGAACCGCAGGGTTGGTGGTTCAAGTTCACCAGCTACTTCTCGGAAACCCTACACAGAGTTGCTATGAGTTGGAACCGACTGGACAGCAGTTAACAACAACAACATATTGCCCTGCTACATATGGGCCGGAGCCCGGAGGCTTTGCACTGGGTCTAGTCCCAGGCCGGGGCGACTAGGTGCACCAAGTCCTAGGGCCTTGGATAAATTGAGGAAAACTAGCATGTAGTGGGCAGCATGGCTGTTTTGTGTTTCCTTTCTGCTGATCAAGGTAAAACCTAGTGGAGAAACTAGAGAAAATGCTGTAGAGATTGAAAATCACCTATGTAACCTCCGATAGTCACTGCTCCCGAACTTCCTTCCAGCCTTTGAAAACCAGTGTGTGGTCTTTGGTGCAGACATTACCTGTGAGTACACAGAGCATATGTTTAAATGAAAAATCATTTACATCCCCAAGCACCGCAGGCCACTCTCCCAGCTGCCACTAGTCCCGAAGCAGCGTGCTCTGCCCCAGCCCTGGCAGAGCCCAGAGCAGCACAGAGGGGGCACACTGGATGAAAGCAGGATTTCCTACTTAATAGGAGAATTTTCCCATGATGCTGTTCATTCTCCTTTGTGCAGCTCACTTCCAGCTAGACATGTAGTGAGGGACGGTGATAGAGCTTGCAGTCTTAGCCAGTTCCTGTGTGCCTGGAAGCCTTTCTTCTTTTAAGGAAACATTCTTGTGGTACATTACATGTAACAAAAAGTTTGCCTTTTGAGCTGTCTTTAAATGCGCAGTTCGATGGGCATTAGTCATTACATTCACCATGACCCCAAACAGACACTTGGTACCCGTCCACCAGTGTTCATAGCGCTGCTAGTCACAATAGGCCAAAGGGGGCAACTATGCAAATGTCTATGGATAAACAGCATGCAATCTCTACCGACACTGGGAGATTATTCAGCAATGAAGAGGAATGAAGTTCTGATGCACACAGGCTGCTGAGGGAAAGCAGACAGTCACAAAGGACAAATGCAATGTCCAGAAGAGGCAAATCCAATGAGGCAGAAAGCCAATTAGTGGTTGCCAGGGGCTGGGGCCAGCCAGGAATGGGTTATTGTTAGGTTCTGAGGAGTCGGTTCCGACTCACAGTGACGCACGCTGTGGACAAGAGAAGGGCACACCGTCCGTTCTCATGCCAGCCTCACAGTTGGTGCTATGTCTCTACTGTGTCAACCCAGCTCATTGGGTGGCTTGCTCCGTCACTCAAGTTAACACGTTTCTGTCCTCTAGCCAGTGAATAATTTCTCCCTTTCCTCTCATGCCTGGTAACCATCATAGAATGTTTCTTTTAGCACGAAACCCTTTTCTTGGCTTTTTGCAATAGTAGTCTCATACGTTATTTGTCCCTTTGTGATTGATTGATTTCACTCAGCGTAATCTCCTCCAGGTTCATCCATGTTATGAGGGGTTTTACAGATACATCTTTTTATTTTTTTTAAGGTTTTATTGTGAATTGAGTGAAAGTTTACAGGGCAGATCATCAGTTTTACATTCAACAAATCATATACTTTGTTTCATTACAATGATTATAATCCCTTCCATGTACCATCAGTTAACAGTATTGCTCTCTATTCATTTTAAATTTTTTTTTTTTTTAACACTCAAGCATATATAATAATTTACACCACCAAAGGGCACATTCTGCAAGTCTGCCTCCTGGCTGCCAGCCCTCAGTTCCTCTCTTTCCATGAATCTAGAGTCCTCAGCTGCTCCCTGTCTCCATGTCCCCCATCTCTGCCACCATCTCTGGTGTCGCTGCTTCTCTGGATAGGGTCCCACATTCCGCTTGTGCGCTTCTCCCTTGATGGTCCTCGGGTCATCTGTTTCTGGACTGTATCATTAACTACTCCCCCGTTTTTGTTGCAAAACTTCTACCTTTACAATTGTGACAGTCACAATTAGTCATGAAGATTCATCTTTATTCTTCAACATTGCATAATATTCTAGTGTGTGCATATGTACAAAAGTTTGTTTACCCATTCTTCCATTGATGGGCACTTAGGCTGTCTCCATCATTTTGTTATTGTGAATAGTGTGGCAATGAACATCGGTGTACATATATCTACTTGTTTTCTGACACTTTATTTCTTGTGGCTATATACCAACTAGAGGGATTGCTGGATCATGCACTATTTCTATTTCCAACTTAATTTTTGCTTTTTATTGTGAAATAAGTGAAGTTTACAGAGCAGATCATGGGTTTTACAATCAACACATTTTATACTTAGCTTCATTACATGGTTCCAATCCCCTCCATGCACCAATAGTTAACAGCATTTACCTCTATTCACATTAACTCTTAAATCCCTCCCTCTGTCTCCTGCTACCTTCGTCTTTCCTGTGCTAACTTCCCTCGTGTTATGTATTGCCTGCCCTGTCATTCATGTTCACATGTGTCTGCCCTCTAGCCCTTGAATAATTTTCCCTTCACCCTTGCCCATGTTGTTGTTGTCAGGTGCCATCGAGTCGGAACCGACTCATAGCGACCCCATGCACAGCAGAACGAAACAATGTTCGATCCTGGGCCAACCTCACTACC